CGATTTGAGTCGCTTCGAGTCAACTTGATCGCCTCGAAAACCGAAGTGTGAGATACTGATATTAACATGATTTGCATTCATTTCTGATTTCTGGCCTCTCAGTTGCCTAGGGAAGCGGAAGACATGGCAGGTCTTTCAGAGCCATGAGGGGGTGACATCAACACATGGCAGGTTTTTCAGAGCCTAAAGGGGGTGACATCAACAGCCAGGGAAGGGAGCTTCATGACTTCGACGAATGAAGCTGAGGTAAAGCCCTCTTTTAGGGTTTAGTAACTAACTAGACCATAAAAGAAGGAAGTTCCTTGAAATAAGAAAAAACAGTGAATTAATTGAAATAATTGATTGATGAATGAACTTCTCCAAGGGTATACACACTATACATACACTAGGAATTTCTTTGATGTACCTAATTAATGGTAATTACAGCGAAATTTGGTAGAAGAGGTGGGATGCAGTTGAAAAGGTCCTAGGGTGAGTATGAAACCTTATGCTTTTTGAGAATTAGTAGCTTTACTAATTCTAAAAAAACATATATATTATATATTGATTGGTTCTGTCTACAATCAATCAATATCAACAAATATCGACTTCGTCAATTTGGGTGTCTCCAACCACGCGGTTGTATAAATAAAATAAGGCGTGTCCATCTCGCTGCAGTCTACTGCAGCATCTCCTTCGCTATCGCGCCTGAGAGAACAAACAGTGCAAAGGAGCAATTCATTTGGTAGTGTTGCGGTCGTCCATAAAATTAAGAAGGCCATCATTACAGCGAATAAAGCAATAGCTTCAGTTAAAGCAAAACCTAAAAAGAAAAAAAGAAAAAAGAAAAAGGTAGGGGTCAGACATGAGTCTCCGCCCTCCGCACCATACGTGTCGGTTTCCCGTCATATACAGCTCTCCATCAGCGTTCCCATGGGTTACCGATAGACATGGCTTTTAGGAAACACAAGGGTGCCGGGTGGATCTGAAGCACCACCTCATTCACTACTTACCCACACGCACTGACCGCCCGTCCTCTCCTCTTTCTCAATCAAAGCTCCCCAAGCCTGTAGCTTGTCAACGACCTTCATGTGCTCTTTCTCAGATGTGGTCAGCGTCAACTTCATGCGCGCTCTGGCGATCGGGAAACGCTTCTCCAACAATCTGATCAAATCCAGCGCCTGCGTCACTTATACACAACACAGTCTCATCAGCTTGACTATGCTCGATGTTCAGATCCGTCTGACGTCTCTGTGCCAACATGCTCTAATCAACTCAGTCAGTATCCCCTGTAATTGCTCCTTGAATGCCAATCACTAACAAGGTGTCATAAAACTAATCTTCGCACAAACAAATTATGCCGAGGAAAAATGATCTAGCCTTAACTGTGTTCACATTTACTTCATGAGTTTGTGATCTGGCTTACCATTCCCCATATATCCATATATCCTACATTACCGTTCCCTAGTCAACGGTGCACCTGCTAAGCTGTGGATTCCTTCAGTTCCGCTCTCAGTTTCCCTTCCGGTTCCACTTTTGTCTCCACTTTCTGTTCCCCTTTGGGTTCCGCTTTGGGTTCCCCTTTGGGTTCCATTTCGGGTTCCACTTTGGGTTCTGCTTTCGCTTCCACTTTCGGTTCCACTTCAGGTTCCATTTTGGGTTCCGCTTTGGGATCCGCTTTGGGTTCCACTTTCAGTTCCACTTCAGGTTCCATTTTGGGTTCCACTTTGGGCTCTGCTTTGGGTTCCACTTTCAGTTCGGGTTCCATTTTGGGTTCCACTTTGGGTTCCGCTTTGGGTTCCACTTTCGTTCGGGTTCCATTTTGGGTTCCACTTTGGCTTCCACTTTCGGTTCCACTTTCCGTTACACTTCAGGTTCCATTTTTGGTTCCGCTTTGGATTCCTCTTTGGGTTCCGCTTTGGGTTCCACTTTCAGTTCCACTTTCGGCTCCACTTTCAGCTCCACTTCTGGTTCTGCTTTGGGTTCCGCTTTGGGTTCCGCTTTGGGTTCCGCTTTGGGTTCCGCTTAAGGTTCCATTTTGAGTTCCGCTTTGGGTTCCACTTTCAGTCCAATTCCATTTCAGCTTTCGGTTCCACTTCAGGTTCCATTTTGGGTTCCGCTTTGGGTTCCACTTTCAGTTCCACTTTCGGCTTCGATTCCACTTCAGGTTCCATTTTGGGTTCCACTTTGGGTTCCACTTTCAGTTCCACTTTCGGCTCCACTTTGAGTTCCGCTTAGGGCTCCGCTAAGGGTTCCGCTAAGGGTTCTGCTTAGGGTTCTGCTTCGATTCCACTCTCAGTCCCTCCATCACATTTGGTCACCATACCTTCCTATGCTACCATCCATTGGTTCAACCTCTATTGATCATGCACTTTTGGGTCATGGATCTACGCGCCTCTCCATATTAAAACACTCTAAGAAGCATCTGGCCGCAATCAAGGCCACAATCAGTCAGAAAGTCAGTGCATAATTACCACCCAAATTGAGCCAAATTGAGCCAAATTGAGCGGATGCAGGTGGTAGTTGGTCGTCGAGAATACTTTCTGCCATTGTAATTCGTTCCGAACTTTTCCAAAATTTCCAAGCCCCCCTCGAGACAACACATAATGGGTGACGCCAACACAAACAGTAGGAGGGCAAAGGTCTATTTTTGTCAGCATGATTTATTTTCAAAGAGGGGACAGGGAGAATCGGGATACCCAGCGCATCATGGAAAGAAGACGAAGAACGAGAAGAAAAAGGGGAAGAAGGAACTTTGACCTGTTGTTTTGCAGAATGATTCAAATCGATAGCAAAATGAACCTCCCGCATAAACCGCTCGATCATGCCTATTGTGTAAGGTCTCTGTGTCTCCGGATTGATGGTCTTCTCCATGACAATGTTGGCCACGTCTCTGAATTGACTGGCATACTTGGCTTCCCTCTCCTTGTCAGAGATCTGCAGCTCGCCCTTTTCCAGAATCTACCAAGAGATCAAATCACCACATACATTATTAGGCACTTCATCCTCCGCCCACCACTATCACTTGTAAAGCACAGACGCCACCATTACTCTGAAGCAAAGAGAGAGAGAGAGAGAGAGAGAGAGAGAGAGAGAGAGAGAGAGAGAGAGAGAGAGAGAGAGAGAGAGTTG